CGAGAGGATGGAAATTACAGCATTTCATTTTATATACTTAAATTAAAAGAGGTGAATCACAACTTTAAAACTCTCTTTTCCCCTCCATTGATCATGGAATGAGTTTAGGTTGATGTGCACCAATACAGACATCTTTATATGGTCAAATGATTTCTGCTCCAGTGCTTATGGGGCTTTGTTTGTTGGGTTTTGGGGTTGTTTTGGTTTGGTTTTGGATTTTGTGGGGTTTCTCATTGGTTAGTTTGGGGTTTTTTTGTGTACATGTTTGTTAGCTTTTTTAAGGAGGATTTATTGTTTCTATTTTGCTATAAAGAGCCATGAAGAGGAGAATGATCTGAAAAATGAAATACTTTTCTGGGATCTGAGGCTTAGCTTTTGGTTTATGCTTTACCAAAAAATTATTGCATGACCTGAGAAAATCTATCTGATCTGTCTGTGAAGCAGGGGCATTAACTCTTCCATACTTCGTAATGGCTGCAGGTAAATGAATACACCAATGCTTGGGAAATGTTCAGATATCATTGCATAAGTATGCCAATAGAGGGGCAATTCTGTAGCTTCAAGGAGACATTCCTTTATCAATTATTCCAGAAATATTTTTATGAAAGTGTTCAAGCACAGCTGAATTACATTTTTATACATAGACTCTTATATATGAAATATTAAATTTTACCTTTATTCAAATAGAGTTTAAATGTATACACTGCAGGAAGTTTTTTTACTTTTTGTCAAAATCCTGATGAACTTCATTCAGTCCTGTATTTAAATCAATCTTAGATAAATAAAGGTGCTGCTTTTTTGAATTAAATTTCACGGTTAAAATGTGCAATGACTAAGTAATTTCTTACAAATTAATCACAGTAATAATTATTTGCAGATAAGCTCAAAGTACATCTTTGAGCACTTCTGCACTCAGATTTTCTAAAATTAATAATAATTCTTTAAAATAATTATCACATGTCTTTGTTTGGTGATCCGTTAGAAAGATTCAAACAATTGATTTTTTAGGCTAGCAAATATATGAATTTTTATTTTATATAATTTATATTTTTTTTTTTATTTGCAGCTTCTCCCCTTTCAGCACAATTTCACTGCTGAGCCAGAACTCTCTGGCACTAATCTGTCACTTTACCTGTTTCTTTTCCCCCTCATGATTCTAAAAAGGCCTTTAACTTTATTAGCCCCTTCTTTGATGTAAAGATTATGGGTTTTTTTTTCCCAGAAATCTTTGCTTTGAAATTTATAATTATACCTAAGACGTGGAGATTTCTGTAATCATGATACGTGCACAAGAAGTCTACCATGAAAATGAATGTAAATAAACACAAAGAAACAGTAACAAGAGAACGTTCATTAAATTCTCTAATATATCTGACATAATTTTCTTTCTCCCCCATCCTACCCACAAAGACCTGAATGTCACATTGGTCTGACAAAGCTCTTAGCAGAAGGTAGGACCAAATCTATCTGAAACCCTCAGAGGCCAAGTCAGGAGGAAGGAGAAAAAGCAATTCCATGAATCTTCAAGCCTGAAGATTCATGAAATCTTTATGAGATTTCTGCAACAAGAAATACAGCCACAGCATAAGTGTGATGGCAACATCCTAATTCCTGTAGCCTGTCCAGCAGGAAGTACATTTGGGTTAGGTTTCAAATAAATTCTCTTTCTGTGATGAGTAAAAATTTTCTCAGTCAGACAAAAGCAGCACAATTAAAATCTCCCATAACTATTCAAATACAGGCACACAGACCAGCAGCAAAGGCAGCAAGTTCTCCTTTACAACATCTGAGCTTTAGCAATACCAGCCATGTGCTGTCTTCCAAATCCAACAAAACCCTGAGCCTCAGCTCCTGTAGGAATGCCAACAGTGCAGTGGGTTTGTCAGGGGTTTGGGTGCTTTGATATGAGAGGGGTTTGTTCCAGCGGGGAAGGGCAGGACAATTCACACATGATTTGAAGCCTCTGCATTTCTAGACTCTGTAGCTAAAATAAACCAATTATCATTAAAATATGTGCCTGGCTATTTGTTATTTTCCATACTGCATCCAGGTTTGGTAGAAAGGAATCACAAAGACTGATAACTCAGCATTTTGTGAATGGTAAAACTTTCATAAAGCCCTTCCATAAAGTGTGTGTAGGGAAGACTAAAACCGAACATAAAATCCCACTAGCTAATGCTTAAGTAACAAATGCCACCAAGTGCCCATTTCCTGAACAACTCTTTTCAGCTGAACTAAAGTGAAATGCTCTTTACAGCTGTAACCCTCAGGAAACAGACACACCAAATTTCAGATTTTCTATTTATTTCCTGGCAGAGTCACTGTCAGCTGGCTAGATTACAGCCTGCAGTAGACACTGCCTGTATACTGAGAAATAATTCTAAGTCAGTGATGAACTTCAAGTGCTTCAAAAATCACCCAAAGAAGCTCTTGCAGTAAATGGTAGACACCATAGGAATTTTGGTCAATCACATGATTTAAGTTTACTGGTGTTATTTCTGTCACTGCTGTATCAAGCCTCAAGCTGACAGTTTGAGCAAGGGAAATAGGAAGAGTTACCTGCTTTAACTTTTGTGATGTTTTATTTTACAGTTTTCTGCATAACTGTGTGAGGTGCCTATTCAGTAATTTTGAAGCTCTGTAGTTTTAGTCTGATAATGAAAGTGGAAGAGAGTAGGGCAACTGAAGACTGATAGTTTGTAAAATATAATCATGTGAATATACAAAATAACACTTTCAAAGTATAAGGAATATTTTAAAACCTCTTTATCTTTTATGTTCCTTTGTTTTACATTTGGCCAGAGACCTCTGATGTCAGGCTTGGATCCTGAATCCATGCAGGAATTCTGTCAAGAAGCACTAAATTTCTGCAAGACTCAGCTACACTTCACAGCATGCAAGGTATCAAAGCAACCAAGGCAGTGTTACATCTCCTGCTCCCCAAGAGCAGGAATGAAGTGACAGAGGTAAATACATACTTGAAAGAAAATTATTTTTAAGAAGGGCAAAGCCCAAAAGCTGCAGTTCTAGGTAGAGTAAACTACCACTGTCTTGTGCTTATTTTAATTAGAAAAGGACAAGAAAGTTTAAAAGATCAGATCTTACTACAATTATTTTATGTGGGTTTGTAATCTACATATTAAGTACAAAGATAAGGTACCAATATTTTGTGGAAGCTTGCAATTAAAGTGCACTAGGTAGCTATCTCCAATTTCAAGTGGCACAACCATATCAGAGGTATGTCATTCAGTTACTTTTCTGCCTTCTCTTTTCCAATTTTCAAATTTTACGAGTTTTTTTCTGGTTCTTGGAGCAGCAAAAATTCTGGTTTTTTCTCTTGTTTAATTGCTATTTCACTAACGAAACAATGAATCAAGATAAAAATACTATGTCCCTCTTGCTTTTTCAAGAAGAGCAGTTGCATTTTATTTGCTAGGATAGGGAAACATCTCCAGGATCAGTTAAAATTCATGGCTGATCACTAGTTTTTAAAATAATTTTCCTTTTTTTTCTTCTTTTTTTTTTGACTTTCAATTATAGGTAACACATCTGTCTCTGTCTGTTGTTTCAAAATGCTCCTTAGTAAATAGAAGTGTACAGTTTGCTCCTCTACGTGCTTCACTTCCAGATTTTCTCCTCTTTATCCCACTCCCCCAGGCTTCAGAGTACCCATCTCCATGGCAACACTCGATAAGGTTGGTGGGTGGTGTTATCACAGCAGGCTTCCCCACAGAAGGTCTCAGCCATATGGATTATTTATGAACTTGCATGACAACACCAGACCCACTGAAATACTTCTTGAGCAAGTTTTTGTTGAAAGCCACTGATTCAAAACAGAGAATCCTCACTGCAGCCAGTACCCAGGACGAGAGAGGGGAGGAAAAGCAGCACCAAGGTGGTCCCTGGTCCCTCCTCAGAGCTGCCTGAAAGCTCCTCTTGCCCCAGATAAGACTTATGTGCCATAAATCACAAGCAGTGTATCTAATGAGTCAGTCAGAATCTGGGAAGTTGTGCTTCTGACAAGAATAACAACCATGACTAAATGGTTGCTACAACTGGTGCTGTTGCCAGGAGTTGTTACAGATTTGGTGCCCCGAGGTATTCTCTGAACTAAACAAAAGCAGTTTGGCTTTGCACTTTGGTTTCTTCACCTGATACTTTTCCTGAAACTTCAGTATATTTTTTGGCAAATTTTGTATTTATACTGAATTCTTTGAAATAGCACAGACAATTTCTTGTAAAGGATTTCTGCAACAGCAGCCTAGTTCTTTGAAGTCAATGAGTCCACTCTTTGCTTTTTGAGCAAAAGATATAGGACCATAAGAGCCTGTTGTATGGAACCCCTTTGTGCAATAATTTTAATAAATTTATCAAGTTGCATCTTAGAGTGAGACAGATTTTCTCTAGGAAGGGGGGGAAATGCTTTATTTCCCAAATAGGCATGTTTGTAGTTTTTGACATAGTCAATACTCAAAATTTAATGGTTGTGATTTATCTTGCCAGCTATCTGTACATCTCTAAAGTATACATGTGAACCTTAACTGGTCACAGTAGGATTTCCTTATGATCAATAAGTAGGAAATGTTGAGGCACAATTTATCAGACCCATTATTAAAATGTGCTCAAAGATTTTATGAATTGCACCCTAAGGAACATAAACACCAGCAAGAACTCACACTAGTTCAGCCAGGTATTTGGAGCATAGTTCAGATGCAGAGTTTCAGATCTGCCAATCAAAACGTTACCAGCTTTATCCCACTCTTCCTTCTTCATCACATGCAATCCATCCCTAATTAGGGTAAAATGCTCCAGATTTGATGAGCTGAAGCATTTACAATGCTGAAGGTGATTAATTTTGAGAAAACTTAGTGCACTTATGATAATCAGTTGGAGGAGGCAGTAAAAAACAATGTCTGGTCTTCAGACAGAGGGGAAATTTTAAAAAATGAGAACTCAGAGACCAAAATCACAGAATGTAAGAACCACATTAAAAATACTACCTTAACAGAAGCTTTGTCACTTGTCTTCCTTGGATACAAATTTTTTGATGCAGACTGGGAGAGAATTCTGAGATATTTAAGGTATTGCTGAAGAGACTTGGCCAAGTTCACATTATTTTCCACATCGTAATTTCTTTCATTATCTTCATTCTGTCCCAAGGTCCTGCACAGCAAAAGCAAGGAAAAGAAAGTTACCAGCCTGTCCAATGTACAAAGTGGCCAACTAAAAAGGCACTGCACACCAATGTAGTTCAACACATAACAGGAAAGTCACTCAAAAGCTTAGCAACCAGAAAAGTATAGAAAATTCAATGTTTCAGCAAAAGCAGTCAAAAAATCTTGCACTATTAAGAATTTATTTCATGCATTTTAGTTAATGATTCTAAAGTAAATCAAATAAAATGTCACATCAAGGCAAAGCCATATTCAAAAGCAAAGAAAATGCCTGTAAAAAGAAAATGCACATGATTAGATTGCACCCCAAAGAAATATGAGATGGTTCTAAGATTTAACAAACTTGCTGAATGATGATGAGATTCAATGCCAATTTGGCCCTGCACCAATGTAAAGAATAGAAGAAAAACTACTAGATATGCAGAAATAATGGAGCAAGTAAACTCCAGTGAAAAGCTTGAAAAGGGAATAATGAGATGGAACAAATATCTCTTCTGATCTTCTCATGTGCCTGGGATTCACAGAATAGTGGTGTTTCCTGAGTGGTTTAGATAGATTTTGGTGACATTTGCAAAGAAAAGCTAGAAATGAGATTAAATGATGGCAGTGTGGAGGTGTTTATATGGGATTCAGAGTGCTGTGTGCAATGAATCTGAATTATTACCAGCTGTCCTCATCTATCTCAACAACACAAAAATGGTGATGATAATTTAAATGTCAGCATCAGTAACTATTTCATTCCTTGTGCAAGAAAGCAGAGAGAAAGTTCCCAGCCCTCTTCCTTCCCTGTGAGTGAAGCTGCTTGAGGGAAATCACCTTTTGGTGTCACCATTTCCTACTCACATGCCCACACACTTCTCCAGTGAAGAAGAATTCGAGGTGGAAGAGCTTTACAACTCAGTGAATGAATTTGACTTTCAACATCTCTGTGCCACTGTAAATAAAATTTTATTCTACCAGCCCACAACTTGGCACTAATGCAGAGGCACAGCCTGAGAGAACACCATTATATCATTTTCCAAAGCTGGGGTTTAATTATATTACTTTAATCAAAAATTAACAGACTTCCTTCCATGCTCACAGTTGAACCAAATGTGTGTCCCTACTAATTTAACACTAATAAATGTAATTAATAATCTAATTTACTGTGGTGGCACTGCAACCAACAGTGCTCACAGGTTTGCTCACTTTGAAACACCAGAAAAACCCTCCATTTCTCCCCAGTGTATAACAGCAGGTTCCCATCAGGGACACAAACTCTGGGAAAAAAGAAGGGTTACTGCACAGAGCACTACAGAAAACTGATATAATTTACCATCAGTCTTGCTTCCTTCTCATTTTGTTTGCATTTTTTCTTATTCCAGAGCTCTAAATTCTGCCTGCTGATGGAGTGTGGTCATGCAGGTAACATTATCCACCTTCTGTTGAGCTTAAAGCCAGACCAAAACTATTCTGCAGTTTCAGAAAAACCTGGGCACTGTGCTTTCTGCTTCAGTAGAGATGAACTAATCCAAACAGACTCTCTTCATAGGAAGGATCCCAGTCACCAACACTCACCTTTCATTCATTGATTAATTCCAACACCTATCTTCTGCTTTCTTCACTAACTTTAAAAGGAAGGGGAAGTGAAAAGAAAAAAAAACAGACCAAATTCTGCCCCAAGAATTTCCACTGGAGCTGATGGGAACTGAATGGGAACTGAATGCACAGACAAAGAACAGGATTTAAGTTGGCCTTTCAAACCATTATTTACAATATATAGTCACTGTCACTGGTGATAGAAGCAAAATCTGGGATCTAAGATTTCTCATTTTTCATATGGAAACAATAATTGCACTCATATTTACACTCCACATTTGATGCTATATTTTATGCTCTAAACATTTAAACAATTAAAATGTAAAAGACTACAAAGCTTTAAATTTCATTTGATGACAACTTTATTGAGATACTATGAATACATCTGAAAGATTAAAAAAAATTTTTTTCAGCTCGCCTCTATATCACCTTGTTAACTCAGGAATGAAAATGCATTAACAAACCAATTATTGCTACTAAATTAAAATATTTCTTTTAAATATGACAAAGTCATGCTGGAAAATGGATGAAAGACAAATATATAAAAGCACTTGGTGAGTAGGAGAAACGACTGTCAGTTGAGTTCTTTTTGTGCACTTATTTGGAAGTATTTTCAATTTTCATTTGCTCTGAAAGATGACTTTGCATACAATGAACTTAAGAGTAAAAAGAAAATACCACATATAATTATTTATATACAGAAATAATTATGTATTTCCTACAAACTAGCATTTTAGAAGCTTTTTTTGTGGAAATATCTAAATCACTGCACCTCTGCTATTTCTGGAATGTTCCCAATTAATAGAAACCACACATTTTAGAATAAATTCCTCCCTTTCAAATGATGAGAGTATCTTATTACTGCCTTAATGATGGTTTTATTACAGAAATAATACTATACCCCATTTCATACATTGAAGTTTGCTGGAAACGTTTGTGGTTTTGCCTAATTGCACCAATGAACACAACTGACATTTATTCCCTCTGTGCAGAGTGGACTTTTTTCCTTTATCTTGAGCCCTCTTTCAAGAGAGGGTTTTTTGAAATTTAATAAGGACCCAGGAAATACCACGTACACTCCAGTTAGCCAACAAAGAAAGAACTTTCATCTTGAAATCAAACTCCCAGTTTCAGCATTTTTTTTGAGATGAAATCCATGTCTTCTGTTTCATCAGATTTTATATGCACTAATTTAGCCTAAGTCAATTTACCTTTCAAGTGTCTGAGTCTATTTTCTTGCTCTCACCAGCTCTGTGGGGATTAATGACTCATTAGTATGACTTCATATTGTCTTATTACACACGTTACCCTTAATAAAAGGTCTTCCTGACATAATGTTTCTTTGATAATTAGATACCTACTCTAAGTTGCTTTTTAAATTATTTAATTATTATCTGATAAGATTTTAGCAAGCACACTGAGCACACTGAACATATAACACACTTGATCAGAATCTACAAGACACCAGATTTCCTACTGTTCTCTGACCTACAAAACACATTGCAAATGGACAACCAGAAAAATCAATTAGTGCTTTAAACTGTTGGCACATAAGATAATGCTTTCAGAAGCACAGCTTGGTGACTGCAGAAAATCTATCCACAATAGGAACTGCTTTACGTGAACACATTTGAAATTCTGATGTTCTTGAAGTATCAATATACAAAATGTTGCAGTTTTTTTCTAAAACTTAGTTAGAGTTAAAAATCATATTCAAAGTTAAAAATTATATATAGTTAAAAATTATATCAAAAACTTGTTAAAACCAGGAATTCCTAAAAGTGAGCATTTGCTTTCAATCTAAACCTTAAATAACATTTATGTCTTCTTATATTTTTTTTATTTTTATGTAACTACAAATTGAGAACACTGCAGAATATGGCCTTGATATCATGAAAATCTGGCCTAGTTTGTCTTACTCTCATGAATAAAAATTTTAGGTACTCTCTTAAAAAAAATCCCCAGAAGATATTGAAGATATTGAAGATCATTTCTGATACCATCTACTGAGAGTAATCCATTCAATACTGACATTTTGTGTATCTAAGCAGTGAAAACATGTTTATGGATTCAACCACATGTTGTTATCACCTTTATGGTAATCTTTAGATCACTATCTTCTTTGGACATTAAGTTTCTACCTTACTGCACTTCTGAATGGTTCTGTGATTTTAAGAAATGCTTTTGAATCAGCAAACATGTGAAATATAGGGTCAAAGTCTCTGAATTAAATCAAAACAAAGTGAGGCAAATACAGTTGAAGACACTGGGAAGTATCAATTACACAGCATTTTATTTCCAGAAAAAAGCAATCTAGAAAATAAATGGTTCTGCAGTATATAGAAACCACATATTGCAGTACATGAAGATCTGAATTCCAACATCCAATATTTTGCCCATCAAGGCTAGAAGCTCAAATTTATCTTACTATATGAAAGTTTTTTTAACAAAAAGTCCTTTCTTTCAATTTCACTACTTTTGAGAATATATTTCTTAAAATCACGCAAGAAAAAGCAAAATTTCTCATTTTTAATTGTTCCTAAAATTACATCTGGGATTTGTGTGGTTGGGTTGCATGCATTTAAAAGCCTGTAGGACAGAACAGACCAGGTAAAAGAGTCTCTTTATATGTGTAACTATATATGGAGGTGATATAATTGCAGGTTCAACGATATGACTCTACAGAATTACTGATGTATCTTGCAACCAATTACTGCAAAGTCAACCCTCAATACCTTTCAAGCCATGTCCCAAGACTATCACTAAGAATCTATAGACTGCAATTCAATTATAGGTATGTTTTGGAAGAATTTGACTTTGAAAATACAATTAGTCACTCAGAATGTCATTCAATGCTTAGTCCAGAATAAAATATCTACTGTAATTGCGCTGCTGTAAGTTTGCCTTTTTGAGCCAGTCATAGGTAGGGATGGCTGAACTGACACTAGACAGTGCATAAATTGAATGAAAGGCATGATGTTTTGAATTCTGACACCTTAAATAATAAGAGAAAGTGTATTTCCTTAACTTGACGATAATCAAAAGAACAAGGTCCAAGGTTTTAATTCATTCTGTCCCCTGAACACTGGTGGACACCTTCACCCAGTAGATAGTGGCTGTTTAAAAATTTTTAAAATTCTGCTTCTGGGCCAACCTCTTATAATTTGCAAACCTTTCCAAAACCCAAGAAAAACCACTACAGAAGACTTACCTTGCTGTGTCAGATCCTTCAGATGCAAATACATCAGGGCGTCTGCTGTGGATTTTGTGAATGGTTGAGAGTTCCTGACCAATAACATGCTGGGTGTAATCATCTCGCCAGGTAAAACCTGATAAATAATAAAACAAACAAAAATAGAGTGGAAAACAATCACTATTTAACAACTTGGAAGTTTGGCAAAAATGTGCCCTACATAAACAACATTTAAAATAAAGAAAAAAGAAGCCTCACTTGGTTGGAACCCACAACTAAACTGCAGATTCTCCTCTTCTGTATGAAATTCTATCAATGAAATTTCGCTAATGAAATTTCTTTGCAATGGAAGGAAGACAGTAAATCATGCAAGGACATTTTTTAAGCCTTTGTTCTTAGCAGAATCTTAGCTAGGTGCAAACCAGTTTCAATAGATAAAAAGGGTTATTTTGGACAGTTATGGAAATTATCCCACTAGCTGGTGTCTGTTGAAAGGTTGCTTCATGTCTTTCCCATCCACAGCACACTGCCTCCTCTGTTTTCCCCATGAAACATTTACGTTTTGAACACTGAGGAGGAAGTACTGCAAGTTTCAGTATAACACACCTAGAGGTCAATTTAAGTTATATTTTAATGTTGAACCAAAGAACTTTTCAGCAAAGGGTAAGCACAACTATGTAGGCAAATTACAGTGAGTATTCGTTAAGTATATGCACTTCCAACCTCTCAATAATTACACCTGAAATAATGATACAATCCCAAACATAATTGTTACCTGATTTGTAATGCTACAAATTTTTTACTTTGTTACCTGATTTTTTTATGTTACAGTAACATTTTAGAGCATTGAATTTGCAGATGCAATTCTCTGTAAATATCTAGTAACTAAATATCAAACAACTGAAGAGAATCTCTGCTGTTGTGCCCTGTGCTGCCAAACACCACAAACCTCTCAATGAATATTGATAGAAGTTCCAGGTGTGCTTATCCAGGTGATAATCTCTTCCTGTAAGAAACCACCTAAGGAAAAATCCTCTCTAGCACCAGATGCAGGCAGTCAGATCTGGTTGGTAGAAGCAGGAAGGGAAGTTGCTAGAATTTGGAAGGAGGATTTCTGGTTCAGCCCCTATTCTGTGTACAAATTATAAACATCACCACCATCTGGAGTCAACAGGAGGTTTTTTGGTGGAGGCAGACCCTTAGGATGAAGATGAAGCATCTTCAGCCTCAGCAGAACTCAGAACTTGGCCACTTCTCTACCTGGGATGGGTGCTTTATCCATTGGGCTCTTCAGATTTTTCCACTGCATCGAAGCAGAATTATTTATCTATTTACTAAATTCTAGAATTAAAAAAGAAGCTTAGGTAGGACATTTCTCCACCAAAGGAGACAATTCTGAGCGTGCAGAAGTTAAAATGACTTTAATAAATATCAAATTTTTATCCTAGAGAGGACATACTTAAATAAGTTCAGTATATGTTTAGACAGGGCTAAGAAGCATTAAAACTATCCTGTTGTCTTGGATTTAGACATGATTTGGGGGGGATAAAGAAAGGCCCCATTTAGGCATTAGTTAAGTGGGCTGCATCTCAAACTTTTGTTTTCATTAGTGGATATAATAATGATAAGAAATCTAAACCAATGTAAGTATGCATGAAGGCTTTAACAAACAAAAAATGCTTTCTAACATTCCACTTGTGATCCTCCTTTCTCCTTTCCTTAAATAAAAATGTTACTCAAGTTTATTGAGGAAACACTTCACCTGAAGCCATATTAGATGTTAATGGCTACAGTAAATGACTCTAGACACTCGGGAGGGGAAAGAATATCTGTCTCTCTCTAATCTGGTTTTATTTCTGATTCATCCTTTTCAAATGCAAATATCACCTTTTCAAAGATGCCATGTAAGAAGATGGATTCAAATAGTTTCAAAAATCTAAATCTAAGGCTGCTCAGAACATGTTTTTATGTGAACACACATAAATGAGTCACCATGCACCTATGATTACTTTGATGTAGTGTAATTAAAATGATTTTTAAAACAAAGTTGAGATATATGCCATACCTATTTATATATATGTATATATATATGTTCAACTTTACTTCTCTGTTGTCTAGCACTACACATTTCTGTTTGCTTTATAATCTCATGAAGGAGAAAAAAACTAAAATAACTTTCAATTTTAGGAGAATGTGCAACATAGAAAGTTCAGCTAGAATACATATATAGTAAAAACATTAGCATAGACTTAAAACTACTAATTCATGAACCATGAGTCCAAAATTACTACAGTTTTACTCTCTAAGCCAATACCAAACCTATTAAAGGCTAAAGAATATACAATAAAAAGCATAAACTTTGAAGAAAAATACATTTAATTATTCTGAAGAGCTTTTTTCAAATTAAAGCAAGAAGAGTTCATCCATGGTACTTCCATACAAATAAGAAATTAATCTCTGAATTTTGAGAAATACAGAGTTTTGTGCCTACAAACCCCAATATTTTCAGTAAAAGAGCATACAAAACCATTGAGATGCCTGTTCTCACTAGTCAAGAGAATGGTATGTCTGTTCTTATCTTCAATGCATTTTTTTTCTACTGCTGCACTATTTTAACATCTTTTTCTAATGCATTTCAAACCAGTATAGACGCACTATCATCCTTAATGTTGTAAAAAATGCAACTATGACACTAAAAAAGAGTAAATAGATGAAAGAAAAACAGACTAGTTGTTATAGAGCTAGAAAGAGCTAGACTTAAGGGAATATGCCCTCTCAGCTGTATCTCCAGCACTTTTAACTCACTTCAGTGTCAGGACAAGACAAGGATGTAAAACACAAATTTCAACTAATTCAAAAATCCCCTTTGCCAGTAATTCAATATTTCTGTCTCTTATGCAACAATCTCAGGAACTGCAGCCTGCCTAAAGTTAACCTCATGCCAATCATTTTCCAGCATTGTTTCAGTTTCAAAAAATCATCTCCCACACACTGAGCCAAATAAAACCGCACATTCAAGAGCCATAATGCCAGGTTGACAGCTGCAATCAGAATTAGGGTTGAGAAGGAGCATATGACGCCGTATGGCGATTTCCTGTTCCCTTTGTCCTTTGTCCCTGTGCCGTCACAGCCCCGGCCTGGCCACCCAATTACTGCGATTTGTGTCCAGCGGCTGAGCAGGATCACAGCGGAGCTGAGCAGGATCACAGCGGAGCCCTTGTGCGCGTTACTTCCATGTCACTGCCGGGGAGGGATGTGGGGGATGCCCAGCTCCTGATTATCCATCCCCCCCGTGGCTGCAAGGCCCAGGCCTTGCTCTCCCAGCCCAAATTCCCACAGAGGGACAATGTCAAGGGAAGAGAAGGAGTCTGGCAGACACCGGAATGACGCAAACACCGTGACAACAGCAGCGGACACAAAACTGCTCCCAGTCATTGAAGGTCATTGATAGGAGTGAGACCCCACAGTGAAAAATGCCAATCACTTGTTTGTAAGATTTTAGAACTTTAATAGTAATAAAATGGTTATAAAAATAGTAATACAATTAGAGCAATAATAATTTGGACAATCTGAATTAGGACAATATGAGACAATAGAAACAAAGAGTTACGGACGCCCCAGTACCTTTTTCTGAGCAGCATAAGCCCAAAAAAAGACACACATTAACAGAGGATCAACCCTTAAAAACAATAACTTGTTGTATATTCATACACCTCATACATGATGCATAAATTCCATTCAAACACAGGATTCTGTCTGATCATCCTTAACTCCTCCTCATAATCCTAACAGCGTTGTCCTGGCTGAGCGAGACAGGAGGAAGTTCATTTCTCCTGATAATGGGGCAAAAAATTCTCTTTCTCTGAAAGATTTAGGTGTCCTGTGACTGCTATCTCAGTGCGAGTCCTTTCTTTAGAAAGAAAGTATCCTACATAGCATAGTTCCTATTATAACATTTTTTTATAACCCAAAACTATATTTAACACACTACTTAAGAGAATTAATACAGCATTACTTTCTAATACAACACATAGAATATTCATTTTAATATTTGCGAAAAGCCAATCATAAAATATGCATTTTTCACACCACGAAAAACAGCCATTGGTACAAGTTTTCCCTACATTCCCTACATAATTTTCATTGGTGTCAGCCCAATGTTTAATTTTTAAAAAAATTTAATTGGAACTCCATAACCTAAATGTAGGTGAAAAGGGAATGCTAGTATAAAGACAGTGGAGACAAGACATTAATACCTTTATCAAACCCAACTGGAAGGTCAAATCTAATGGAAGTCCTCTAGGTATAACAGTCCTTCATATTATCAGGCATCTCCCCAGGTCTTTTATTTCCACATCACAGTCTATTATTATTATAGTAGTAGTAGTATTACCCACAACTACAAAAATAATAAAATTGTTTAGGTCCCCATTATATTCTCATTATTATACATAAATGGCTGTGTCAACAGCAAGTACTCTTCTAAGAATTATTAGCTGAAATCAAATCAAAAGCAAGCAGTTTTAATAGCGAAGAAAACAGTTTCAGAGATTCACAGTGGTGAAGAGGTTAGCTTCTGTCCACAAAATTGAAATAAAAATTTTTTTCAAATTTAACATAAAATGTCACTTAGCCTGCTTAATTGCCTTTGCTGCTATAGCAGTTGCAGAGAATTATTGAAAAATACTCAAAATTCAAGTATTTTCTTCTCCCAGCTGATGCATTTTTCTAAGCAATTGCATTTTTTGTGTGGTTTTGACTCTGTTTTCTATCTTAGAGAAACTTGATGTCACTCCAAATATACCTGTCAACATCTTTAATACATGTAAATTACAAGAGCAGCTTTTGAAAACATTTATCTGCTACTTCTCTGTTCAACTTATCCTATTCAGACTCATACAAATTAATTTCCTTCCCTCTGAAGGCCTAAGTAAGAAAAAACAAAAGTTTTTTTAACAATTTGGAGGAGCTCTGGTGCAAATCAGAAGAGCTCAAAATAAGTCCTTTAAAGAAACAACAGTTCTCATTGCCCTGAGATTTGGCTGTTCCAATCTTCCTGCTGCTGCCCCTGACCCTTTTCCTGACCAGCATGGCTGATGTTGAACAGGGCTCTGCAGAAAAGTCCAGCAGAACCAA